TCCTAATGAAGCCAGCAAAGGCAGGGTTACTTTCCAGTTGTTTTGGTGGTGGGAAAAAGGCAGAAATGGTAAAACTCAGGCCACAATAAAGGAAACCATCATGGACATTACACTTGTCGAATGTCTTCCTTGTCTTGTGGAAGAAGTAAGATAATGCTGTTCTGGATATCTCATTTTACTCTAAGAGTTGTTCTTGACTGTTGTAACTTTGGAGAAGTCAGATGTTCAACACATATCTAATCTTGTTTCTATAGGTTACTGTTCTGCAAAGGCCAGCTAAATCCAGAGTGTCACATGAACAAGATGACACTTCTAGAACAGGTACCACAACAAGCAGATTAACAGCAGCTCAGCTGTTGATACTTGTTTTTCTGTGTGTTTGTGTCCAGTATACCAAAATAATTCCTTACTGTGAATACTGCAGTATAGCTCAATTAAATTCCCTGAATGTATCTGTGTTGACATATGTATGTGTGCACTACTCTTGGCTTCCCTTCAAAATCTTTTAAATTAACCTGAGCTAATTCTCATGTCTGTGATCTGCTCAGCGAAGGAATAGGCTGGTTTGACTGTGGAGTGGTTGTTCTGGAACTATGCAGGTACCAATTGGATAGGCACCCATTAGACTCAGCCACTCCAAGGTGTGAATTGTGCCTGCCTTTAGTGCAGACACACTGTGGGGTCCATACGCTTACTTCACTGACTTTATTTAAAGATCTGCCTCTTGCAAATTAACTGAAACAAGCTAAGAAGCTCAGAACTCATTCAAGGCTTGATGCTTGTGCAGCTCTGTCATCTGCCTATTCATCATTTACTTCAGAAAATTTAAGTTTGCTTTCTGTATATGCCAAGAAAATTAGTAGGTTGCCTAAATACAATGGTGTGATAGTTTAGGACAAAGGTATATGATCACTGTAAGTTCTGAAACATTTCTTCCGTCTAGCCCTCCTGGAAGTCCTTGTGAGCCTTTTCCTCCTCTTGTAGGCCTGCCAGAACATATGATATTTCATGCTTGGAAAGGTACTGCAGATAGATTGGAAAACCCCTTTCTACTTCTGTTAAATTTCTACATTAGGCACCAAGAGGAGCACTTCAATACCAGCAGCAAAAAGAGAGAAACCAGAAAGTCCTGAGAGGTATCAGAGAGATAATCAAACACTTCTACTTCAGGTAAAAACATTTGCTAACAAATGGACATAATTTCTGGCTGTTCAGGAAACTGATAGACAAATAATGCTGTCTGCTTGGATATGATGTAGACATACCCATTTTATCAGGCCACACATCTTACTATGGATTCCCACTTTCTGTGAGTTTACTTAGCTGTTTCTTTGTGATGAATGGAGACTTAGATTTGAGAACTTAGGTTCAATTCTGGAAGCTTTACATAAGCAGATGTTCCAGTAATGTCAACTGGAATGTTTTGCCCTTAAATATATAATGTATAATTGATGTTATCTCCCATAACTTGATTGTGACTATGAATTTACATTATTCCGCAGATCTGCAGGGTTGGGTAGTTTGTAGAAGTCTGACAAAAGCCATGTGTCTGAGACAGAATTAGGCAGCCCCAATAAGATGCACTAGTGCAATGAAATGTTCTCTTTGCTAGACTTCAGTGAAAGATCAGATGTAGATAGCATGACAGAATGAAAGGCAAACATACAGAATCATGAACTGGGGAAGATACCAGGAGCTGTCAGTAAAGCATGAGGAAGGATGACTACAAAAGCAAATTAAAGAGCAAACTTGTGCAGCAGATAGGTATCTTTTGAAATTATCATTATTTTTTGTTCAAGGGCAGTGGCGACTGACCCCAGTGGCCTGTTAGCTGTCTAACAATGTTTATTTTGGAGCAAAAGCATCATGCAAAATTGTTATAAAAAGAAGAGATCTAAATACAATACACCTTTTTTTTTTCTCTCAGATAGCTTGTTACACATAGGCCAGATGCATGTTTTTCAATTAGTTGCTCCAATTTGTCTCCCTGACTCTGTGCCCTGGATCAAGATTCTTGGCATCCCTCTCCTTTGCTAATCGTCTCATTTACATCTAGTAATTTCTTCTGGTAAAGTAATCGCTTTTGTTCAGATATGGACTGCTGCCTTCTTAGACCTTGGGTATTTTCATATCACCATTTAACTGGAAGATGGTAGCATCAGGACAGAAATGTCCCTGAATATTCCATGGGATTTGTCACATCTGTGTGTCATTTAAATCTTTCCAATATCTTTGATCTGTTATTGCTGTTTATAATATGCCTGTCTTGCCTATAGTGTGATTTATTTTTTTTTCTTAAATGTTACAGTTGTTTGAGATACTTAGCATCAAAACAAAAACAAAAATTGAGAAATTAACATTCTCAAAGGCATTATTGGGTAGTCTTTGATCTGAATCTCCAAGATTTGAGAGACTTGCACAGAAAGGAGCAGCGCTGCTGTGAGGTCTTTAGTAATGTCTTTGCTTATTCAGGTGGAGGCCCTGCAGGCTCAGATAGAAGAACAGACACGATTATCCAAGGAACAGGTTGAGGCACTGTTAGAGGACAGGCGGATTCACATGGAGGAAGCCCAGGTCCAGCATCAGAGGGACCAGGACAAGATCAAAACAATAACAGATAAGTGAGTGTGAGAGAATGACCATGATATAGTTATGCGATGAAAACTATATTTTGCCTTTCAGTATGCTGCTTCCTGCAGCAGGCAGAAAAGCAAATTATGCCATCTGTTTGGTAGTGTGTGTGTGTGAAAGGAGGTGAATGGAGTAATCTCCATATTAAAAATCCTGTCACAATGTAAGATTATCACTTGTTTCATTAGATAAGAGCTAAACTCATTAGGAAAGCACCTATCTTTTTCTTCCACGCTTCTTGCAATTTGCAATGATGACTTGGGAAAATAAGGTAGGAACTAGGAGAGAAGTTAATTAACTCCACTGGGATCCCTTTTTACAGACTCCGTAAGACTCAAAATCTCTTATATGAGAGTACTCGTGACTTTCTCCAGCTCAAGTTTGATGCCCGAGCCAATGAGAAAGCATGGATGGCAGAGAAGGACAATCTGTTGAGGAAACTTGACAAAAATCTGGATATCAGAAAGGAGCCAGGAAGAGAGAAGCAGAAAGATACCAAGAAGACACTTCAAGCAGATGATGGAGCTTTGAAACTCCACAGCCGAGAACTAAAAGTAATTTGGTTTTTATTCTAGAGGTTCTTTAACAGTTTTTTTTACTAGAAAATTGCAAGCATCTGGGTTTTGTCAAGATACGCAGTAGCTAGCAGCTGTTTCAAAGCTGTACTGGCTTGCCATGAGTTACGTTGTTGGCAGTGAAGTAAAAGTCCTCTCCTGCCTCAAAATCAGTGTTGCTTGCAAATTTTGGATAAAATACATAGTTAGGATTTATGGTGGCACTTCACTGTCAGTTTCTTTTATGCCCAGAACAAATCCTTACTTCTCCAAGCCACATGACATGTGGGCTGACAGTTTTTAACCTGCTTGTTGCACATGCCTTTCTTTTAATGTAAATGCTCTCAGCTCACGGACTTGGAATGCAGTGTCTCTATCTTCCTTGCTGCTGTTGGGGGAGAATAGGTCCTTTCAATTGATTTCCCCCAGTCCTTCCACAGTAGTCAGGACTTCACTTCTAGTATACTGCCAGTGAGAAGTTGGGAGACTTACCACTGAATGTAGATGCTTCTGAAATGCAGTACTCTGCAAGCAGCTGTGAAAAGAATTACAGCATTGGTTTAATATTATTTTTAAGGGGGAAAGTAGAGAGTTCTTTAACTGATGATGAGTAGTCATGCAGAACTGATCACCTAATGAAAAGAGTTTGGTAATTGAAGTGGTGTTAGAATATTGCCCTTAGGTAGTTATTTCGTTAAGCGTAGCTCCAGTTGTTAATTTTTGCCTGTCATATTGTCAGTCTATAGCACTTGCCTTGCCAAAGCTGGGGAAATTTTGTGAGCACTGGCTTTTGCGTTGATTCTTTCTGTTCCTCCTGTGTCCTAGTCACTGCAAGAACAGCTAATGGAGGAGCAGCGCCTATCAAACATGTATAGAGAGCAGTGCATCACCCTGGAAGATGAGCTAGCTAGGATTCGTGAGGAGGGAGATGTCGGCAGAGAACTCTTTAAGGTAATTAGTCTGTAATCATCCGCTAGCTATGTGATGATCTTGCAGCCTTTATTTTGTATACCCTATTGAGCTTTCATCTCCATAGGAACGCTCAGAAAAGATGGTTAAGCGCCTGAAGCTGATGACTCAGCGATATGAGGCCTTGGAAAAACGTCGTAATATGGAAGCAGAAGGCTTCATGAATGACATTAAACAGCTTCGGCAGAAGCTGAAAGATGTAGAGAAGCAGCTTTTCAAGGTAATAGCTAGGCATATAGCATAAGCAATAGGCATGTATTTTTGTTGCAACTCTGAAAGTTCTTATCTGATACCTGTACCTCACTTAGCTGTCTCAAAATTACAAGGCAGTAAAGTAGTTTCAGAAGTATATCCTGCAAAGAAAATAGATTGGTTTTTTTTTTCTGGGGGCCATAGTGTTTGGGTTTGTTCCAGTACGAGCTAGATCATTGACTAAAGTATTGTGAATAGTCTATTCCTTTGAGATCTCATTTGTAACTCTGCAAAAATCACTCTGGAAACAATGTCTGGAAGCTGAAGCTGCATACTCTGTAGTAGCTTCTAGATAAGGAGATGAACATAAGAACAGCTTAGAAGGGAAGCCACAGCATTGATGTTGCTTGATGTTTAGGATGAGATATTTATCTAAGACATGCTTGAGAGGATGATCTAGGCATAGCTGATGCTCAAGAGTCTGGCAGTGCCACGGATTCACTTGTTTTCTGTACTTCTGGTGCTGTTTGTTGTACTTAGATTAAGGTGTTTGCCTTCTCTAAAGAAGAGACTTCTAAAGGCTTCGAGTTCTTAATTATTTTTGTTGAGCTGTGGGCTTTTAAACTTTATTCTTTAAGGATTAAATAGCATAGGGAAAAATTGCCTATTATAGCTTTACTACAGATCTGTATGTTTTGTAGCTGTGGATGTGCTCTTAATTGTATTATTTTCTTTACACTTTTAACCACAAGAGGGCAGAGGAACAAAATACTTGCTGGAAGTCTCCAGAGTGATATTTAAATCCTTCTCATTGCTTGAGGTCAAAATGACTGCAGATGACTAAATTACCTGGCATGCATATTAAAATCTTTGACCAAGAACTACATGATGACAATGAGACATCCTAAAGGGTGGAGAGGAAAGAGGGCTTTGAGAGCAGCTTCCAAGGCTTTTGGACAGTTGAAAGTGACTGGGCAGGCATGCTATCCTGTTCCAGAGTGGCAGAAAATGGCAGCCCTGGCTAGCCTGCCATCCAGAATTCTGATTATCTAGCAGCTTTTGTCTAACTTGGTATGGGCCATATGGCATGGCATTGAGACTAGGCATTGTACTGGAACTGCTCTTGAATCATACAGTTCACAAGGCAGCAAGTTGGCCACAGCAGTTAAACCACCTGTAGTGGTATAGGAGTCGATGAGTTATGGGTGAAATTCTGTCCAGATTTCTTCCTTGCCAGTAATATAACACCATGATGTATGAAAACTTTGATCTTTATTTTTGGTTCTGGAGCACCTGTCTATTGGTGATATGCCTTAGCCTAGTGATAGTAGCTTAAGTACCCTCTCTGATAGCTACAGAGGGTCTCCTTTAGAATTCTCTCCCTCATATCATCATCATCATACTCCTAAATTGTATTCTGTGCACCTTTTGTTTTTCTTAATATGTTTTTCTTTTCCTTTTTAGGTGACTCTGAATATGGGACCAGACCAGGATCTTGCAATTCTACATGAGGTCCGCCGAGGAAACAGACGAACTCATAAAATTCAAGGAGAACTAAAAAACTTAAAAGCAAAAATCTTTATCTTGGAGAATGAATTACGGGTCTGCTGAAGCAGAGGTATAGCTGGCATCCTTGTTTTAGGAATGGGACATTGGTAGGCTGGAATAGTCACATTCAAGAGCAGCTCCTGCCTGTCTGTTTCCTGGCATCCATTGACAGAACACTTGAGGAAATCTGCAGTTATTGTCATAGCATTGTACATGAGCCATTCTGAACATGCCAGATTATGTTTCAGCTGAGAGATGGCACCTGATAAGACTGACGTAGAAAGTACGTGATGGCTGATATGCATTGGGAATATGACTTCATCTTATCTTCATATCTGGTAGGTGTCAGTGTATACTGGCCTTCAACTTTCTTCGGGGTATATTATAAACCATGTATATAATAAAATCAGTAATCATGGAAGGATCTAGTTCAAGATCTGAATTGCTTGACTGACCTTGTCTATGTGAGAAGCAGCTTTTAAAATGGTTTAAGTGATTAACGGTTTGGTGCTTAGGTGCTTCAGAATGTAACTGGACATTTTCTTTGAAACAGACCACATGTAGAAAGTATCTGCTGAAGTTACATCTGACTCTCCCCTTGACAGTAGAACTATTTTTAAATGGCTGCCCTTTTGCTTGGTTCTAACCTGATTGGAACAAACCTAACTGATTTTAATACAGTGGAAAACGATAACCTGTTACAGAACTCACCTTCAAGAACCAGCAACATCTATACTTTGAATGTTGGGGGTGAGGGGAATACTACACTACCAAGTGTCATCTTCTCATCCTCTTCCTCCCAGTTTATCTTAGCACACAGAGGAAGCCCATAATAAAAGGCCATCTATTATCTTCCTTAACCATGGTATTATCTATCTTTTTAGCTTTAAGCAATATTATGGTTATGTACCAACAAATAATGGTCAACTTTTGCCACAGCAGCTGTTGCTGCTGAACTGTTACTGAAATTGGGATGGAAGAGCAGATGCCTAGTTGCTACATGATTATTATAACTCTAGCTATATGATTATCTTCATACAGGACATCACAATGCTAGAAAACAGATGAAATCATGAGAAGGGTTACAACATGGCTTCAGCCCAGTTTATAAATGGGGTATTGATGGCTTTTAGTGTAGTATCAGCAAGTCTTGTCACCTCAGACTGAGAGCGGATCTGTGTTAGAAAAGGGATTTCAGTGCCTCTTTCTACTGTCAAATGTGACAGAAGCAGAATAATATCTGAAGTATACACCTATAGGCTACCACCACTTCCTTTCCTGTTGAAAAGAACTTAGTGTGTGACAACAGGCAGTTTAGAGATCCTTCTTCAGCATCTGGGAGAGGCACATGTGCAAAAGATGTTCTTGTGCTGTAAGGATTTGGAGAAAGAACTGGTTTTATAGCACCAGCTAAAGCATTGCAGAAATGAAAATTTCCTTAAGTCATGGCCCACTTCAGTTATGTATGCTGACCTGTATGGTCCTGTGCTGTAGCTTTTATTTTTGTATGTGTTCTTGAGGTCAAATTCCTGACAGACTCTGATGTGGCTGACAGCCTGTACCTAGATGCTCAGCTACTACTACAGCTCACAAGAGGCTGCTTTAAAGTGTGTTGCACTGATTAGTTCAGCTGAAAATGCTAAACTGTTCAGAAACTGATTCATGAACAACATGGGTGCCAATGCTATGTGGACAGTTAAGGAGGTTTATTAAATAATGCTACCATCACTTAGTCTGTTTGTTGACTATTACTTTCTCAGATAAGTCTAGCTAATTGAAGTGAGTTTGTATGTGAAATAACCTGCTATTGGTTTGGAGATAAGATATCAAAGTTACCACAGGTCCTGGAAGGCTACTTATGAAAATTGCTACATAATGAAGTATGAGCCACTTACTCGGCAGGATCAGCTAATGGGAAGCTAGCAGAAAGGTCTCTTGAACCTTACCTTAGAAATAAATGGGTTTGTGTTTATTTTCAACTCTTCCTAGCTAAAGATTTGCTTATGAAATTACATCTTCCTTACTTGAAAGCCATGAAGCATGTCTGGATAAAGGCTTTAGGCTGACATTCAGGTTTGTAAGATTAGGAGGAAGTATTGGGGGAAGAAGGATGTAAATGTTTAATTTCCTGTGTCCCTTACCAGTATTCCTTATTACTTGGAAGACTGAACAGAATAAAACAATAATGCTCCTAATATCTGCTGGTTTGTGAAAATGAAAGTGCAGCTTGAACTTCATTCTTAATTTGTCACTTCCTGTTCGAGGTGGGTGGTGGTAGGGGGAATTACGGTAGTGCTGATCTGCAAATCCATTTCATTTGGAAGCTTGAGTATTTGTCTAAGGGCAGGAAAAGCAAAGTATTGTACATGCTCTTTCTGTGTGACATCATGTGATCATGTGAAATACTGCTTTATGTTGCCAAAACAAATGTGGACCTTCAAGCCAAGAACTGCTTTAAAAAGCCAAATGCTTTCTACCACTGACAACTACTCTGTAAGATGTCAGTAAAGAATTATTGGCATTTCCAAAGGGGTTTAATGGGAAATGTTCCAAGACCTATGAGTCAATTTTCTTCCACAATTTATGGGTAGAAAACAAAAAATGGGACATACTCCAAAGACTGATTAGCTTTTTTTTTTTGTGAATTTAAGTTAGTAATGTGCGACTTGGATCATTTCAATACAACTAAATGCCAGGTTATGTATGTAGGAGCCCAGAATTCGAAAGATCTCCAAAATGGCCAATTCTAGGGCTATGGAGACTCTCCTACAGAGGAATAAAGGTTAGAGCTGGACAAATGTTTAGTGTGATCCAAGTTACTAAAATGATTATCGCATACAATGAGCAGCAGAGGAAATCTTTTTACTGTTGTGTAGCCTTATTTAGGTAAGGAAGGCATGAATATATTTCAGAAAGGATGTTGAAATACTGGGTAAGGCACAGAACTGCTGACGATTCAGCAGAAGAGAAGCGGTTGTGCAAGAGCTTGTATTACATTAAGAAGACTGATTAATATACATATATCTTGAAGATGAAAAGCTACCAAAGGCCTCTCCCAGCAGAAGGCGGCTGAGCAAGAACCAGTAGCCTGAACCTGAAGTTAATAAAAATAAGAGCGTGCATTTTTAACAGGAAGGTTGTGCTTTTCCCCTCATTATAAGAAGCTATTTGTGGAGGTGACAAATTCTCTATCTCTATCTTCAAATCAAAAAATGATTGCACCTCTGGAGAAGGTAGCTTGTTTTAATAAGTTACAGGATTTGACATATTATGTGAACTAACAGGAAATCATTTAATAGTTCCTTCTGGCTTTTAACCCTTTGGTTTATTTATATGCAATATTGGTATGAGATTTTCAGCACTCCTGCAGTTGCCTTAATTATAGGAATGCATGCTGCATCAGCTCACCCTACATAGCCAGGGTACACAAGGTAAAAAGGAAATAAATAAGAACTTAAATCTCTCATGATCTTCCTATACCACACCTTTCAGTAATTCCCAAATTGACTGACACTGTGACTGTGCTTAGAAAAGCAGATTAACAGTAGCCACAGTTCTGGTAGCTCTTAGAGTAAATCTAAATAATAGTATATCATGCACTTGTATGCCACAGCTGTACTTAAATTGCTTATGTAAGTAGTAGTGTCGATGCGGAAACACAGGTATTTTACTGGTATGGATGGACTTTGGGAAGCCTGATGTTCTGGAATTGTAATGGTGCTGGGTGTAGGCCACGAAGTAATTCTATGATCTTTCTATTTTTATATTTCTAAGTTGTTTTGAATTGTAAGAAATATTTATCCCCTTTAATCCCAAAACAGTTACTTCTTAAATCTGCAAGTTTAGCTGTAGATATACATATACACATTTTTAGTGCTTGGCATGGGATTATGTACTGAAACATACTTGGGTACAGCATAGAAGGCATGAGAGGTGAAAGCCATGATGATTCCTTTTGGCTGCTGTTGTTTATAGGGTTTAGGCACAAAGTTTGTTCTGATTCTTATGTTGCATCAGAAATGCAGGACTTTGTCTGAAACCAGGCTGTCAGAGGTAACTGGAGTTTAACCCACCAGCAGGAAACATTTCTTCTACTACTGAAGTATTTGAGAAGAGTGGGGTGGACTTTAAGTGTTTCCCATGTAGCACCAAGTGAATGGTTTAGAAAAAGGGCAGCTTTGGATGCGAGTTGGAGTGGCTGCCCTTCACATAGGCTCTGAAAATACAGCTTTATAAACAGAGCTCGGTGGGGCTGACTATTCATACTAGCTACATTTCCCATTTTGAGAATTGCAATGCTGTTGCATGGTGGACAGATGATGTGTATAAATATGGATTATTTGGTTCTATTCAGAAAACCCAGAGAGCGTTCCAACACAGAAGTATATCAATGTTTAAGTAAGACAATGATTAACTTACACAGGCATGAAGGGTTTCATTGTTGAAATGTGTTTGTTTTGAATTAAGAAAGCTCTTGATTTAGCCTGGTGAAGAATGTCTGGGGTGTGCTGGGTTCTCCTGTGTTGATTCGGAGACCAAATGGCCTTTGTGTCACACTAAACATTTATCTCAGGCTAGAGTCACTTCTAAACTGTCCAGTAAAACAGATTTTTCCTCTATGGGACTAGCTTGGGCAGATTGAAATCTGCTTGGTGTCATCACAGGGAGAGCTGCAACGCATTGTGTTCTGCAGTGTCCCTGATAAAATGATTGCAACACATCTTTGGAACTTGTTGAAACATAAGGATGATGAACACAGACACCTAAAAAAACCAAGTGCTGGTACTTTTAAGATGGGGGAAGGAGGTAATTTAGGAAAAACTTTAGTCAGATTTGAAAGCATGTATTTCCAAAATGATCACATATGTAGACTTTTCATTCTGGTCAATGTCTAAACCCTGAAAAGTATTTTGAAAGGTCTCAGCTTAAAGTATATAAAAAGTCTTTTCTGGAAGTGCTCTTGATACCAAGAGATGGGCAATTCAGGCCAATTTGTGGGGTAGGACCTGCAATAAAAACATGCTCCTAGAAGTGCTGGATGAAGTTCGTGTAAACACATGTCC